TGTATAACTGGTAGCAAGATTTGATTAATTTTTCAACTTCATCCCAAACACCTACTATAATGAATAAGAAGTTCCTATTGAAATGACCACCTACTGTTCCATTTCAGCTGGTGAAATATTTCTCTATAATTAACAAATTTTTTTCATTTTAGTACCACTTCTTTATGCGATTAAGCGGGGACAAAAAACAACAGATAACCGTTTAAACGGGGAAGTTTAACATTAGTTAAATATAAAATGATTTGGTTCCATTAAATTTTATTCCTATAAGCGGGTTATTCGATTATCCGAGGGGCGAATAAGTGGGGACGACTGTACTATGATAACTAAGTGAAGAAAACTAACATTGCCAAAAGTAAATCTTTTGAAATTATTTATAAATAAATTTGCAAGGTAGGTTAAATGTTTACTAATAGAAAACAAATGATTTAATACTATTTTAATAAAATGTTAGTCATGTTTTTGAAATGAGTCATTTTAGCAATTGACCAATGTTTTTTATATATATTTTTCAGGATCATAAATTATAGTCAACAATTGGATTGGCATTCATTGTTTGGTGATATTAAATCTAAAATGGCTGACGGAAAAAAAAAGAAAAAGAGAAAAGTTTTTAAAAAATGGAAGAATCGCTCATAAGATTCTGCAAAATAATTTATTACCGAAAAATATAATATTTTTATTTGTATCTTTATAATTTTGTGCAAAATACACTTGTTGTTTTTAAAGCTAAATTATTTCTGTCAACAAATTTTTTTCTCCAAGACTTTCGTAGGCCCTAGGCACGTGCCGAGTGTGCCTATAGGTATATCCGGCCCTGATAACAGGGGCTTCCAACTTACATGAGGCCGGGGCCTTAATTAAAAACACCAGTCAAATGGCAGGCCGCAACTTCATCAGAATTTTATATAGGACTCTTTTATGTTTGAAGGAACATTAAATATTACTGTCAGATTTTTATCAAGTTGTACAAAACAAAAGTATTGAACTACAAATCACAATACTAAGTAGATTTTTACCCGATATAATTTTTTTTGCACCATTGCTATGTTAAATTTCACAGAAACGAAGACATTGGGCTTTTTTTTAACGAAAGAAAAGTATTTTAAACCCACAAAGATCTTTTACGAAAATTGTCAGGAAAAAATCTAATATATTTTAGTTTGCGGGCCACAAAAAAAGGCTTTGCGGGGCCGGACCTGGCCCACGGGCCACCAGTTGGTAACCACTGATCTATAACATCTGCAATAAAATTAGTGCAACTATTCAATAGTAAAGTATCTAATAAACTGCAAGGTTTCATCAAAATAAATTATATAGAATTAAGAAAGTTGATAAGAACTTACGGAACTTTTGGAAGACTGAAAGTTATGCTTGGCTTGACATTATTACCATACTTTAAATAACCATAAAAGCCAACACCGGTATACAAGCAAGCTACAATCACCATGCCAGTATTAAGCACGCCATTTAAACCACCAAAGTCATCTGGTGTGGCCATAGCATTTTCAAGGGGAAGAACCTGAAATTAAAAATTAAAGTCTTTCAGAAAATGGCTGGCATGCAAGTGTTTTTGCATTGTTTCTGAGAAGTTCTTAACCAGTTAAGTTGAAGAACATTGAAAAAAAATTCATGCTGATGACATGCACATGGAAGAATAAGGGACTTGAGAATAAAATTGTAAATATTTTATTATTGTTTCTGCTTCACTTGTACATTTAAGTGGTTACAAGCAATGTTATAATTAATGTTATTACAAGTTTTTTTTAAAACTACTAATCTCAAGCGATTGCATTCAAGAATGCCATTGCATATATAGAGAAAGGGAAAACAATTACAATCAGAGGGACATTATTTCTGTCTTGTAGACAGATTAAATATATTTTTACACATATTCAGGCTGCAAAAATTTGCCTGTAAATAGTTTTTGTCAAGCTGAAGCACTTAGAGCAAAAAACTTTTAACCTTGACATAAAATAAATGAAAAAAACTAATATGCATATCAATAGCAGTTTCATATATGAATGTTTCTAAATGATTGTCAAAAAACGAGCAAAATTTCATATTTTTTCTTCCAATAAACATATATGTTAAGAAAATGGGATGCACACACAGTAAACATAGACAGCAATATTTCTTTTAATATAAAAAATTAGTAATCAACCAGAATATGTCATAGAATGAAACCTTAATGTAAATTTGAATTGATAATAAATAAACATTAAAAAATAGGTTACAAAAATAATTTTTTCTTTAACTTACCACTCCTATGCCTTCAAAAGCATACATAGCAGTTCCAAAATATAGAGGTAATTTTTTTAAGGGTGCTGTATAAGGATACAAATTGCCACTATGACTTCCTTGCAAAAGGAAATAAAACACCATAACAAGACCAGCGATTTGAAGAATATTGGCCACACCAGATGCCGGTGACAAATTTTTCAGGCTCCTGATGAAATTGAAAAGTACCATAAGTGGAAGCACTATGGCCATGTAGCCATGGATAGAAAACGGAGAGGAACCAAAGAGGTTTTCAGAGACCTAGAACACAACATATTCATTTTATTTGATGAAAACTGTTTTGGAACTAGATTGCAGTTGGGAAAAAAATGAAAAGAAAGAATTAGATTTATTTCAAAATTTTTCTTTTTGGATACAAACAATTGAAGAGCATTATTTTAAACTAGAGGGCTGCGCCCCCTGCTCGCTCACGCTCGCCAATCCCCGAAAATTGCTACGCAATCTTATATGGTTTGCTTCACAAACCAGACTCGATTTGCTCACTACTAACTTAGGTACATTGGAAATGCACAAAATTCTAAGAATTCAAAACAATTATTCAAATCCATATAACAACTTTTTTTTTTTTAAAAAAATTACATCTTTTTAGTAAATACTAAGTCATTAAAATAAATTTGAATTCAAATAAATGACACGTAATTTGTTAAACCTATTAGAAATGTGCTATAGTATAAAATCTTAAGATAAGATTTCAAGAACTGATATCTCTTTAAAAAGGTTAAAATTTTGGTTATAATTAAGTCTATTAAAAATTGAAATAAGTGAATTGCAATGGAAAAACCTGCAGAAACAAATAAATTCTAGTAAAACAAATTCGTGATATAAATCAAAAATCGTCAAATAAATTCATAATATATAAATAAAGCGCTTTCGACAAAATACTAAAATAGAGATCTATCGACAAAGACTACTCACTTCTGCCTAGCTTATGCTCTCTCTGGTTATTTCAGTTTCCGTTTTCAAGCGCTATATGTTGAGCCATCTCAGCTAGATTTGGCATGTGACATTTTTAGCGGCAATCATTGGTCGATTTTCTAGCGTTGCCATTCGGGGAGTTGTAATGAGGCTTTTTTTTGTCGCCGTGTAAGAGAAATATATAAATAGATAGCTATTTAAGAAATTGAGGCCAGATAAGTGTATACCTGATTTTAAAAAAATGGCAGTTTAATAATTTAAAAGTAGAGGAGAGCGATAGATCTATAGATTGTTTCCACATCTTAAATTAACAGTTGTAGTTTTTGTTTATTTTTTAAAATTAAAAAATAAAAATACAGCAGTCACTTAAAGCAGAAATTACAAATTGTTCCAAGATACAACATATTATTGCACTTTTGAAAAGTTTTATTCAAACCCAACTTCAGGAAGAAAAAAAAAATTTAAGACAATAAATTAAGAAAGTACATATGAGATAGCAGATACAGCATTACGAACAAAGTCCAGCCACATGCCCAAATTTTTTTAATCCTATGTTTAAACAAAAATGTAAAAGAATATAAAAACACCATGACTGGACACTCCTACTTATCCATAAAATTTGAAAACGCTTGTTTATAAAAGGGAGCACTTTCTGTTCATTCTTTAAAAAAGGGCATAATGCTGGATTTGTTAACATTGTCAACATGAATCTGTTGCACTCAGTAAACACAAAAGCTATATTATATTCAAGCAAATATACATTGATTATTAAAGCAAAATGTATATAAAAAAATATAGAATTACCTCATACAAACTACTAGATACAAAAAGAAAATATACACAGCAGAATCCGAATTGAGTGAGCATCAACATTAAGTTCACAGCAAGTCTATAAAAAAAACAAGAAAATATCCAATAAAAGATTTCAAAAATTTTAAAAAATACATTTGCAATAAGTACATTATTACATTTTAATACAGAAATTTAGAATGTAGTACAATGCTTATTTTATGATATAAGTAGAACGGGGATGGCAAGTTTCTCTCTTGGTAGAAAAACCTCTCTGTAAGAAATAGGTTTCTACCAGCCTAATCAGAAGAAACTCGCTTTTAAAAAGAAACATCAAATATTAAATTTTTTTTTAATTATAATCTAGTTTAAATAATAGTATCTTTTTCCAAGTTATACATAACAAGTTATATTGGAACAAAAATCAATTTCAAAAATTTAGAAAAAATTAAAAGAATCTTTTTTTCAAGATTTTACATTAAAAAAAGCACCTTAAAAAGCTTTGTTTTAATTTCCATAAAAAAAAACTGTTAAGCAAAGATCAAATTTTGTTTATACAATAAAAATAACATACACACTACTACAGATCTCCCATTAAATTCACAATTATAAATAGAACACTATTTTCTATAATCAAATACTATTTATGAATAAACAAACCAACTCTTAAATAATATGATAAATAAATTTTAAAATTCTGTATAAAATAAATGATTAAAAAAATAACAAAAGTTATTTTTTTTAAGAAAAATCTCTGCAAAACATTTAACTTCATGCTGCTTTATTAAACTGAATTTCTTCAAATTTAAAGTATTATTGAAATGCTTATAGTTAAAGAATTGCATAAAGTCATTTTTCAATTCTTCAATTTTGTCCTTTTTTTTTCAATGTCCAGGAAGAAATAAGTTTCTTCCACAAAAAAATTCCAACCCTGATACAAAGCTATGCAGCATACTGTGTTGCGTTCCGTTGCAGAAGTATCAACTGACTGTTACATCATTACTAGTCAAAATTCAGAGTATTGTTTACTTTGCAAGTTTTACATACACCAGAAGGGGACGAAATTGTGGACTATGTTAACCTTTATCTATCAAAAGGTACCTCAAGATAAAATTGAGTTAATGTTTTATATACTAAGGAATTGGTAATTAATATTTATAGTGGTATTACACCACAAACCTCTTTCAGTAATAGCACGGTGATTCATCAGGGACAGAGCTATCGTGATGGACATTATGAGTAAATCATTGGTATATATATATTCCTTTTCAAGCAATTCCTAACAGTTAATAATAAAGTGGTAGGCAATAATGGAATGTAAATTAAATAACAGTATAAAATATGACTCAGTGTTCATTTTCAGTTATCTTTTCTTCTAAACTTGTAATTGGCTGATACTGTTACTGTTCAGCGATTGGCAGACATGACAAGATAAATTATTGAAAAGACTGAACCTTGGATTATGCTGTTCTATTAATAGGATTTGAAGCTATGAATTTTTATATCCAGGAAAGTTAAAATCTGAGAGACAACTTTGATATTCTATACTTGTATCAAGCTGATAGCAACACAGTGATGTGCTAAATTATACTAATGGATGCCCGAGAGTTTAACAGGACGCTATACCGCCGGAGAAACTTTTTACCGCAAATTCTATTTAATCTCCATAAGTAATTTAAAGTATAGAAAATGTGAGTTCAGACAAACCTAGAGTAAGCCATGAAATTTCAAATACTGAAAAGAGGTTTCCAAAATATCTAAATGGAAATAAATTATGAAAGAATAACTTGAGATTACACAATGGAGAAGCTCTCTGCCAATAATAAGTTTTCATTTTGACATTTTGAATTTTTTTTCCAGCAATTGAAACTTCATGGTTTTACTTTAAGTTAGTCCGAACTAACTTTTTCCAAGCCTTAAATTTGTTATTTCCAAAGAAAATTTGTGATGAAAAGTTTCTCGCATCGTACAGCATCCTCTTAAGGATTACTTCAAACTTCTAGTAATTTTGATTGCTGTATTTCTACCATAACACTATAGTGCTAACTAAAAGGACTTAGTTACAATGTTTCGCTTACAACACAGTGTGTTTCCTGAATATTCTAAGGTGCGTATACTGAAATATTCTTGTATTTGAGGCCAATATGCAGCTGTGTTCTATGTCAAGTCAGGCAATGAACCACTCCTTACACTTGAGTGGATAGTATTTATCTGTGCATGTTGTCAAGGCCTAGTTACCTGTTTTCTATTAGCTTATCCCTGATATACGAGGCTACAATGAAGCTTTTTTTTATTCCTGCAATCTCCTGTCACTTTAATAATTTGTATAGTGTGTCAAAAGAAATGTTCAAAGAATAGGATATTATTTTACCTTGCAAAAGGTGCAAGAAACTGTACTTTTGGTGGTCCCAAACGGAATGCCTGCTCAGCAGTTGTAGAATAATCTAGAGACGTCACATTTAACCTGAAATGTAAGATTTCACATTTTATACCAAATACAACAGGCTGCTATAGGAGAAACAAAAAATTTTTTCATTAAGATTGTTACAAAATTATTATGGAAAATAAGAATAATTCACTTTAAATGATTAAAATAAAATTTTCAGTAGTTAACAACATTGCTGCTTTGCAAAATACTTATTATTATGAAAGAGGCAAAACTTACAATAAAATTAAAATGCAGTTAACTTAAATTTTTCCATTTATCATAAGTAAAATCTATGTGTGTCCTTTATACTCTTAAATACTCTCTCTCCTTTATACCATCCAACCGAAAGCTATGAAACTTGGCATACAGATAGTTCAAAGTATGAGGAAGGTCACTGTTGACATTAGAACATTCTACGACAAATAGTTCTAGCAGGATGAGCAAAAAACGAAATGAAATTTTCTGATTAGTTAAGCATTAGCCATTGTTTTAAATTTAAGGAATGAATTTTGACATGTTTTTAAGATGCATCAGTGATAATTGCTAGCTTATAACTCTGTTTGATCAAAAAAAAGTTCATTGCACATATTTAAATATTTAATTATTTTATATTTGCTATGTCAGATAAATTCAATGAACATTACACGCAAACATGTGTGGTCTAAGTCAACAAATTTATACTTTGTACCATGCACTTTTATTTTATTTATATTAATTCTTTTAAATGTGTATCTAAAAAATTACTTATTTAAAACAAACGGTAGTGGAATATAAAAAAAAACATTAATGTATTCGAAAGCAAAATTAATGGGAAAGTGGTACTAATTCGTTTAGGTAAAATATAAAAAAACAACGCCAATGATGCTTTATTAAGATAATATTTGCATATTGAAATCAGCTATGAATTAGAAGGCAAAAGTAAAGAATTAAAAGTATTTATTTGAACAGAAAAACGGTAAGAAATCGTCATACTATCATTGACGACAATGATGTTTAATTAATGCTGGTAATATGTCTTAGTTGAAATAAACTAATCTGTTTCCTAACTAATTTAATTTATTTTTGAAAAAACATTGAAATCATAAAATTAGAAATCTTTAATTTGTTTGAACAATTATTTTGAAGTTTTAATATTCGGAAAAATACAACGCTACATTTGTCAGAATCTGATTCAGAAAAAAAAAGAAGAAAAAAGCCTAGGTACAGAGCTGTTGAATGTCCCACTAGTCATAACTTTAAACTACATTTGCATGATGTTTGCTTAATTATGGCGGTTGCTTTTAAATTATTTTTCATACAAGTAAATAATGATATATTAGTGAATTTGAGCTTATATTTCTTTAAAATTTCATTAAGACATAATTGTAATAGACAATTCTTAACAAAAAAAAACACAAACAATTATTTTTACATTAATTAGTCTTAGGCTCTGGCATATCAGACTTTATGGTAAATCGGACACTGACATTTGTACATATTTTTTTAATTTGTTTAGTGTTTCATAATAATTTAACATTTTAACTATAAATTCTAAAGTTATTTGAGATGCATTAAGGGAATTTCTTTTCCGTCTTTACTCAAAGAAATTTCCTTTCCAATTTGTTCTATTACTTCCCCAATTAAAGGGTTAAAAAATAATAAAGAAGAAATATACGTATACTTATAATATTTTAGATCATTTTTCTTTTATTAAAAAAGAAATGACAGCATAATTCTTACTTTCTAGCTAAAGTTTTGCTACTGATGACAAGAAGATGCATACAGTGTACACAAATGGTTCCTAAAATAGGAATGCCAATGCTACCAACCTGTAAGAAAGAATAATTGAGTAAATAAACAAAAATATCATATAATGTCAAGGAACAAGTATATAAAAATAAATAATCCTTTTCTAAATTATAACATATGAAATGTTTAAAGATGTGCAACCAAAAAAAAAAAAAAAAAAAAAAAAAAAAGGGGGAGATCATATAAATATTTTGCTTTCAACTTTATATCTATACATCAGGTAAGCTTATCTTGGAGTGTACTAGTAAAGAATATGAAAATATAAGTTCTCTATCTATGTAATCCATTAAAATATATTACTCTCATTTTTAAAAATTAAAATATTCAATTACAAAACATATGTGAAACTATAATCAGTTTTTTTTTTTACAATTTTAAAATCTACAATGAATTCTTAAATATATCCACCATTAATAATAAATAATTAGCTTTTTATTATTCAGTTTTGAATCACTATATATATTTTAATAAAAATACAATAGATAAATAATAGCTACAACTGACATAAACATATCTTATTTTGGCTAAAAATATTTTAAAAAAATTAGTTTCTTTACATGATTTTATATAATAGTATTTCTAATTTTAAAGCAAAATACTAAAAAAACATGTAAACAGAGAGTGCTCAACAGAGGTCTTGGCGGAACAATGAAATAGAATATAAAAACAACTATACAATGAACACACAATGAAAGAAACTATCAAGATTTAAATTTTTAATTAACAGTGGCATTTAATTACATATATAAAGGACACAAAATTTCATTCAAAATTGTATATCAGTTTTAATTTAAATAGAAAAAAATAAAAATTTTAATACATTTTATTTAAAGAGTGATGCGAGGTAACTAGACAACAAATGTTAATACAAATATATTAACTAATAATTTTTCATAGATTTTGGAATGCAACAACACATTTAAGTCTCAGTCTTGCGATTTGATATTTAATAGGCATCATATACTATTTTTTGTTAATATTTTAACTTTTTATATGACAGTAATTAATTCGACACAAAAAAGAATTTTGAAGAATAGATATAATAAAACGCATAAAGATGCCAAACATACCATGAGACCAGCATTTGAAACAGCGTTTGGCATAGCTAGGATTCCAGTTCCTATGTTGCCTTTTAGTAGATGCATCAGCGTGGCAAAATTGCTAAATTAGGAAGCATTGAACATTAAGAGCAAAGAAATGGATTGAATTCTAAGATATCATCATCAGTTTGAATAAATGTGTAAAAGTTATAGCTCTTCAGTAAAGAAACTATACAATTATTGGCAAAAAAAAAAGAAGAAGATTTATTGGGAAAAAGAAATTAATGATACAATCACAACAAATTGTAGTTTCTTTGTGTTCAGCAAATTAAATTGAAAATTCAACATAACTAGTCATAGATAAACTATACTATAATTATGAAAAAATTTTAGAAATATTTTATTACAAAGAGCATAAATGAAAATTCCTGTAATGTGAGCTCTTTTTCTGATTTTTTTTTCTTTTCATTTCATTTTTACATTAAAAATAGATTATCTGTAATAGTAGGTAAAATATTTTTTGCACTTTTTAAACAACTTTTTTTTTCTATTAAGATTCAATATACAGATTTTAATACTGACATCAAAATTAGTTAATGTACTGTTTTGGTTAATTTAAAAATCAAAGACATTTTTAGTGTATAATTAAAGAAGTTTCTTTCCCCTTTTCAGCACCTCAAATTTTTTGGCAAAAAACTTCTTTCGGTGTGACCAATTTTTTAAATCAAAACAGAATTGGTGATCTGAATAGAATAGAATAATTGAATAATCTGAATAGGAAGAAGAAAAAAATTCAAGCATTAAAAATGTTTGCTAAGTTTTCTAAGACACATTGGTCTTTAAATGCTGTCTTTAATTCATCTAAGTGAAAATCAAAGTTTTCTGAATTCAATCTGTTAGAATATGAAAGCACTTTATTTGCTTCTAAACATTGAAACATATTCAAACTGATCATCTGTCGAACTTTTCATGCAAACAAATATCCTCATAGTACACTAATTTTAATAAATCAGAGCATTTTCAATCAGTTGGGTAAATTAAGATTTAATCAAAATATGTCATTAAATGCAAAAAGTATAAATTATTGCAGTGAAATAGAATCAGTGGTCAGAAAAAACTACATTATTTTTGTAGATCACTGCAACCACAATTTATTGGTTGCAAATGTAGTTAACTAGAACTACACCTACTTGTAGTGACTACAAACTACTTTGGAATTGTAGTAATTACTTCACTACTTGAAGGAGACAAACTTTGCTGGAGACCACATTAAATATAAGGTAATAAAGAACCTTACATTAAATATAAGGTAATAAAGAACCGTTTATTCATGTTAACATGAGCCAGTTTATTATTCAAACCATTTTTTTAAAATTTGTTCATTTAACCTTCAGCTTTTTAAGCCTTTTTCAACTACGAATATTTAAGAAATGTGAAATTATCAAATACTTGCAAATTTTTATTTGTTTAATGTTCTTTTAATTCCTCTAAGAAATTAAGGGCATCAAAAATACCAGGGGTCTGTCTAGATTTTTCTGAAAGGTACCTATTTTGTGAAAATTTAGACATAATTTGTGAAAAATTAAAAATTATATTACAAAATCAATACAAAAACATGGTAAAAATATAGATTTATCGTTTCTAAAGGGATACAAGAATAAAATTTTAAGAAAAAGTATTTTGTGAAACTACTGTTTTTCCTAAAGTTGAATTTGTGAAACTACCGTTTCACCTAAAATTGAATTTGTGAAGGTACCGCTAAACGGTAGTAAATTCGGCCTGGACAGACCCCTGAATACATTCCCTTCCTTTGAAACAACATCGATGTTTCACGAGAGTGACCAAAGTGATTAATTATCTATTTTTCATAATGGCTAATTTAAATATTAGTTATATGTAATTTCAAATACTCAATTCCTTTTAACGCTCAGCTGCCGCGTCATTTTCATTTTATCCATTGTCAGACCTGGGAAGATTTGTACAAATCAAATTAGAAAAATTAATGGGTTCTTTTCCAGGGGTCTGTCTAGGTTTTTCTGACAAAAGGTAATGAGACGTGCCAATTTTGTGAAAATTTAGACATAATTTGCAAAAATTTAAAACTCTATTAAAAAATCAACGCAAAAAAAATGGTAAAAATATAGATTTATGGTTTCTTACGGGACACAAAAATAAATTTTATGAAAAAGTATTTTGTGAAACTACCGTTTTTCCTTAAGTTGAATTTGTGAAGGTACTGCTAGATGGTAGTAAATTTGGCTGGGACACACCCCTGTTTTCTAAACTAAAGTTAAAAGTGGTTGTCAGGAATTACTACAAATTAATGTTTTCTTGTATTGCACTATTCATTACACTACTTTCTTAAAAAAACAGCACACTATACTACAAACTACGAAATAAGGTAGCGACTACAGCAGTTTCTTTACTTGTAGTGGGCTACTTTCGATTGCTGAATAGAATTTAATAAAAGATCTTACGAGGTCCGCTGGGTATGTGTTGGCTCCTGCACAGATTGTAGCTGTGATCCAACCACATTTCCCATGGCATTGGGGTTAGCATCATTATGTGGCACCAATGGAGTGGATTCTGCATCAAAGCTTGGAAGTGCCACATCTTTCTGTAATCAAACAATAGTATAAATGATATATAATTTATTTATAATAAATTTTATTTACACATATTAAAAATGCATGAAAACTAATCAATAGGCAAAAATTTTAAGAAGCTAGGACCAATTTTTCAGAAGCCAAACTATAATAGAATGGAAAGTAGCATAAGCATGTTTTGCTTTTCTAAAATAACATAAGAATAATCATAATTATTAACCTAATGTTATTTTTAAATGGATAAACAGGCCAAGGACCTGAATGTTTTTAAATGTTTTGAAATTGAAAGCACCACAAAACAAATTGTGACTTTTAATGAGAAAACAGTTGAAATTACTGCATTCTTTCTATGGCAGTTATTTTAAGCTTGGAATGAGGTCAATCAATACATGTTTTCTCTGACAGCATGGTTACTCTGTATTGAAACATTATCATTAATGCTTTATTTGTACGTTTTTCGTTTATCATCAACATATATTTTCTTTGCTAAGCATGATTATCTACAAAATAATCGTCAAAAGTACATTTTTAATATAGTCTTAGAAATATTTTATTGTTTGTTACATTCTCTCTTTTCATTTTTTTATTTAAATTAGTAATCAACGATCAAAAGACAGAATCCAATGCAAGCAATTATATCTTCATCCTAATTAATAAGTAATTTTTTAAAAAAATTATGATTAGAAATTAAATTTTCTCCTTTTATTTAATTTGGGCAGAAATATTTAGAAATTTTTAATAAAAAATAGTTTTAAAATTTACTAAAATATTTTGCATCAGCTGTGATTTAACATAGACATCATAAAAACCAAGAGCTTAGGATTTTATAACATAGCTCCTAACCATAATAAGAAATAAAACAAAAAGTTTTTTTAATAGAAAATAATGCAACATTCAAAATAAATTTTGTGCAAAGTTTATCGTTGGCAATTGAAATGGTCTACCAGTGGCGCACACCAGAACTCTTTGTTTTGATTTTTAAGCTTCGAAACTAGATGGGATCTTTAAACTGTATTAAACATAGTACTTAAAGTAAGGATCGTGGAAATTTTAAAATTTATTTTTGACAATCTATATGCAGAAAATAATATTTATTTTACTTAAACTTGAATAAGTTTAAGTAAAATAATATTTATTTTACTTAAACTTGAATAAGTTTAAGTAAAATAAATTACTTAAACTTGAATAAGTTTAAGTAAAATATTTGGGTTATGCGAATACAAATAAAAACATTTAAGATAAATAAATAATAACACAAAATATAATACAACTTTTAGAATAAAACTGGATTAAAAAATATTCTAAAACATATAAAATTAAAACAAAAACGATGAGAAATGAGCAAAAAAATAAAAGATGGGTAAAGTAAAATATATTATGAATTTCTACGCTTTACACTTTGTAAGTAATTTTTACAGCTGGTCAAATAAATTATTTCTAATCAGATTAAAATCATAGAACAAGAGAGATACTGGCAAAATATAATAAATTAACATAGAAAAAAATTGAGTTGTAATATGAATATTATGAAGTGGTTCAAAAACTAATAATAGAATTGTTAGCTTAAATAGTAATTTGACAAAGAACTTTATTTAGATAGAGTTTCTTTTAATTATTAAAAAGGCAAAAACGAGGTAAAACAAACATCATATAACAAATTTTTAAATTGAATTATTAGAAATTCAATTAGCCTGATCATTACAGATTAGAAAAGTAATCTAAATAGTTTAAAATATGTTTATATAAACAAAAAAATAAAAACCTCCTAAAAAATGAATGCTTATTAAATTTTTTCCCCTTTTGTCACAATTTATAAGAAAAAATGTTTACAAAAATTGAAACACTAAGATAACACAAAATAATCAAGTATCAACTAGACACATACCATATTATTATACGAAATGTCACAACGTAAAAAAAATAATAATGAATTTATTTGTTTTTATATAATATAACATATGAGGATGACAGCTAGCACAATACTGCAAAGCACCTGTTCACATCACTAGTACTATCCAAAAATACTTTAAATCTTATTAATCAAAAACTTATAAACTACTGACTCAATTCGATTTGCCAAGAACTTAATCAAAAAACATAAACAATTTCATATACATCAGGATAAACAATCATATTTCATAAAAGTATCCAAACAGCTGTTAGCTAGGGAAAATCTAAAACTTTTTCATTGTAGAAAGAATGACATTCTAGGAATTATAGAACATAAATTTTATGAATATGACTCATGTTTTGATGCTCACCATAGCAATACATTCACGATAATAATCTGGCGCGAAGAATTCGAGCAGACAACTGGAGAATAAGTTGTTTTCATTCATCTCGAAACCAGTTTTTATGTTTGTTTAGATGGAGTTGAGTTGTTTAATGTCTAGATCACGAGGGATGATATTTATGTAATAATTTCAACAAGTGAGAGAAAAGAATCAATTTTTCTATTTTTATCTTTATCTAAGTTTAATTTAAGAATTTTGATAAGTAAAATTAATAAGAAAAGAGTTCACATTTCATTGCTTTAATTACATAACCGCACAAACATGTCCGCCATTTTGTTAGAATTTTCCTAAATTTTTTTTTTGGGATGACAATTAACTAAATTTTATTTAAAAAAAAAAGAATTTATTTTTAATCAACAAGTAAAAATTATGTTTCCATTTTAGAATATTAAAGAACTTCAGAATTTCTTTAAGATTGTAAAAGATATAAATTATTTTGCATTTATTTCGCGCGAATTATCATTTTAAAATTTCTGAAGAAAAAAAACTATGTTTATCTTTTTTTAAAATCTTTTGTACATATTTTTTTTAATTTCAAGAAATAATATGTGAGGTTCACAAAGTAAACTTTTACTTTATTTATTTATTGAGACAATGAAAAATATTAATTTCATTTGTAACAAAGTTATTTTTTGAAACATTAACAATATAAATAACAAAAAAATATTTTCCAAAATTTATTGATGATTGAATTTCATTTTTAATTATTCGTAGGGGTGAGTGGGGTAAGACCGGGCATTTCACACTGAAACAATACCTTTATAGCTTTTATCAATTTGCGTTGATGACAATAATTATTGTCATCAGCGCAATTATTTTGCTTTGCTTAAGCAAAGCAAAATAATTTCAGAAAATACAAAATCTAATATTATATAGCATAAAAACTAATGCGAAATAATATTATGGCGAACGCTAGATAATATTAATTTTTCATAGAATCTAATATTATATAAAGCAGAGCAAACAGCGACCTCTTATATCTTTCTAATGTTAGAAGTTGTACAAGATAACGTTAGATTTTACCGATTTTCTGACGTTAGCTAATATTCGGTGCTACTTGGGAACCAAAGAAATCTAGTTTTTTGTTAAAATTTGTTTTTGTTTTTTTTGTTCCATAAGAATGAATCAATAATAATGAATCGATAATAATGAAAAACACGGCTTTAAGCCATTATCTTTTTATGTTTTTGAAGAAAAAAAATGTGAGATAAAAAGAAACTTACTTAATTATGCAATACTTAAATTAGAATGTGGGTTAAAATAAATAATAAAATGTAGATTTATCAAGCTAATAAAACTATGGTCCGACAAAATTCCAAATTTTTTTTTTTTAATTTCTTGTATTTCCTAAGTAATCAGCAAATTATCTAGAAATTCTGCAAATTAGACACACGTTAAAGTGAAAATAAGATCCTAGTTGGAACTTTTCTGTTCTACTAAATAAACATAATGATATTTATTTATATTTTTGTATCTTACTAATCAAGTTACTACAAATAAACAATCAACACATTAGTTGATATTATCAGTCATCAATCACATGAAAAAATATCATACAAAGAATCAAACGGCTTAAGATATTTTTACAATTAAGGAAAGTAACACAATATCATATATTTATTTTTCGATATTTACAGAATCAAGCCAAAACTATTAGAAATAGTAAAAAGAATGCGAGAAACTAACTTTTACGATAAGTTAAGTGAAATACAGAAAAATCTTCACTTCAATAGAGCAAAATAGTTAATCTGCAGATTAACTAAGTAAAGTACCCATTACCGGATATCGCATTTTAACGGTAACATGCATAAATAAAAGAAAGTTACAAATTTGAATTTATCTTACAAGTAAATCATTTTTAAAAGCGCAGAATGATGATAAAATGAACTTTGAAAATAATTAGTGGTACTAACCCTTGCTTCTGAAGTAAAATAACTTAGAGAAAGACCGCTACTGTTCCTTCATATTGCAATAATTTTTCTTTTCTTTAGTCTTTCTTATAACTATTTGTTTATTTTTCGTTATTCACACAATCTAGTCGAAACAATTAAAAATTTGCCGATAGAATTAAATAAACAAACTTCTGAACTTTTACGATATATAAAGTTAGGTAAGTACAGAAAAATCTTCACTTCATCAGAGCAAACTAGTTAATCCGCAGATCAGCTAGATAATGTGCACATTCACAGCGTTTGCGGTAATATATATTAAGAAAAAAAAGCTACTAATTTAACTTTATCTTACAAGTAAATTATTGTTAAAAATGTAGAATAATTACAAAATGAATTTTAAAAATAATTAGCTGTACTAACCCTTGCTTCAGAAGCAAAATTACTGAGAGAAAGAACACTAATTTTCCTTTGTGCTATATCTATAGCTTCAACTGGAGGGACAGATGCATAATCATACTCCTTTGCCATTTTTGTAATGAACGCCCCTCAGAGGACGATTTCTTTTTACCTGATTATCAGACGATAACAATCTTTAATTCATGCTATTGTTTTTCTTCGCCACCTAATTCTTTATTGTATTTCACTTCTTTCATCAAAAGATAATAATAAACTCATTTACTCAGTTTCACAATAATTTTTTTATAATCATCGAGAGAATTCAAATCAATTACCTTAAATATTTCTCTTATCTTTCAGTGACCAAATATCGTTTTAGTTTTTAATATCAGGATTAGTCATAAAAATGACTAAAAAGGTAGATATATACATATATAAAAAAAGGGGCATAAAATTACTCTTTTACTCTCGTCATTCTTAAACGTCATCATATATGTTTTTAGTTTCTATCGACTTTTCTAAAGCAGTAAGTAATCTTTCCGAAATATTCAAGTCTCTCTTTTTCAGAAAGGATATATATGTATAAAGAATAAAAGAGAGAAAATTGTGCAGGGTTTAAGTAGGAAGTCAAAGGTTTTGTGCTTCGCGAATTTCTCTTCAACGACATTTCCTTTAATTTCACGAGATAAGCTAAAGCAACACTTCCTGAAGGGTTAATTATCAAAAATGTATAAAGCTAAAACACAGATTTATTATTAGTAAATATTTAATAATACTATAAGAATATATAATTACATTAAATTATTATTAGATTATATAATTATTACAATATACGTATAAATATTATATTTAATTTTACGTAAGACGTCCATGATAGCGAAAAAGAATTTTTTTTTACAGTATGTTTTTTTTACTGATAAATGTATTTAAATGTAATGCTAAACTAGCAGTAAATGCTTATTAATGCTAAATGTTATTTTAATGTTTACATTTATTATTACATTTATAAAATGGACAATCAAAGTGGAGTTACTTTGGGACACTTTCTTAAGGTTTATTTATTTTGGATACCTCATTTAAATTGCAAAGTAGAGGTCTGATCATTCTACAATATATAGCTGCATAATTATTTTTAATGTGATAAGTAAAAACTTATAGTAATTATATAAATTTAAAAAAAAAAATTCGGTGTCACTAAGTCACCAGCTTGGGTGGAGTAACCATTGGACATCTAATTTATTCCTTTTAAAATTGACCTTTAAATTTCTTAGGGAATTTTTAAGAGCATATATTTATAATATTATTATTTTTTGAATGTATGTAATAGATTTAGTATAATAGATCAGTTTTTGAGGACATTTAAATAGAATTAGTATAATAGAGAGTTTCGAGATATTAAGAATGTTTTTTGAATAAAAAGATGATTTTTGGACTTCGTACCCTGACTTTTATACTCTGATTAAATATCCTCCCCGTAATGCGCTGTGGATAGAAGGTAATTTGCTCAGGTATCGACCACGTCGCATATCCATAAACAAAATTAAATGGGGTATAGCTGGAACTCGGACAAAAATAACCAAACAGAAGGTTGTCGTCAATTAATTAGTAAATTTTTTAAAATTCAAACCAAAAAGAATTCTGACAATAATTTTACAATTTTCTTTAAATTCAATTTTAAATAGATAAAAATTAATAAAGAATGTCACTATATGTATTTAGTTTAGTCAAAAGTTAAATATCGTCCCCATTCAGAGAAATGCAATCTTATGACGATTTTGATTGACGTAGTATCATACTTTGACATAGTTGATATTCTGCTGTCCCACATTGTTTTTCAATTCATTTTTTTAAAAAAAATGATGCCATGAGTGTGATATCTATTTTTATTTAACAAGTGAAATTATCTTTCATTTCAGAAATGCTAGTGATAACAAAAGTACGCTTAGATTGAAGATAAAGATAAGAATAATAATAAATAAATAAAATACAAATTATTATATCTCTTTTAAGCACTTTCAATTTAAATAGGAATTGCTTAAATTCATAACATTAAAGAAACTATTACAAGATTAATATATCATGTAAAAAGTAAAACTTCATTTTTTCAAAACTTATATTTAATTCTTTAACAGGATTTTTCAATAAGACCGCCTTAATGTATACATAAGCCCCAAATTAACGCATTTGATATTAAAATAATATGTAAGCTAGGAAGAAAAGAGAAACTTTAATCGAAATTTGAAAAATCACTTCTTCTTTGGTTGCTGTTGTAGTTATAGTTTATTTACGTCGCACTAGAGCTGCACAATGGGCTATTGGCGACGGTCTGGGAAACATCCCTGATCCGAAGACATGCCATCACAATTTTGATCTTCTGCAGAGGGGATGTCACCCCCGCTTCGGTAGCCTGCACGTGAAGTCGAGCACTTTACGGTAGCACAGTTTAACGAAAACCAATACCGCACACCCTCGGTCCCTACGCAGACTGATCCAAGTGGTCACCCACCCGCACACTGACCACAACCAGTGATGCTTGACTTTGGTGATCTGCTGGGAATCGTGTCTTAACGATCAGTCCACTGCGGGACCTTCTTCTTTGGCACTTCAGCCCGGTACAGGCCATGGCATTCTCAAAAAGTTTCCGCCATCTTGCATCCTC